GCAAAAGTTGTAATTCTAAAGCTACTTTAAATATAGTAGAGGATTAACTCATTTCATTACTACTTGAAATAAGCTGGGGAAGCCTCCAGCAATTCAGCTGTGCAAAACACTCAGAAAAGCAATTGGTACACACACAGGTACCCTCCAACATTTCCATCCTTCTCTAGCAGTCACACAGTGGTATTACAGCACAGCTGTTAAACATACTTTCTGTGCCTTCCGAGTCAAAGATGGCCCAAACATCACAGCTCCCCTGGGGAGTGGAGGCAGAACTCGGTACCCAGAACACTCCCCACAACACCACCAAGAGCTCCCAGCAGAACCAGGGTTTTTACAAAATACACAGCATTACAGGGAGAAGAAGGAAAAAAAAAAAAAAAAAAAAACCCAAACAAAGAAAAAACCCAACAACAAAAAAACCCCCACCAATCTTACTTAAAAAAAAAAAATCCCATGCCCTCTAAGTTGCTTTTTCACCACAGGAAGCATTTTGCATAGTCTAAACATGATCATTGGGTACAATTAAGCTATGATGAACTAATCACATGTTGCAGTCAACCCAGGATGTGGTTTATTTTATTCATATACAGGGACATATGTATTCACTTCATCTTCTTTTAAACTGAATACTGAGCACCAGGTAGCAAACAGTAAACTGATTATCAATCACTTTATTTCAGCTATAAGATTATAACATTTATTGCTACTAAAATGATGCCATCAGGATTGGAAATGTTCTCAGAGTAGACCAAAAAGCTCCTGTTGGAGTATTTGGAGACTAGAAAGAAAACTAGTGGGAAAGATAATTAGTAGAAATTAGCATTAGTGGGTATAAACAAGGAAATCATTATTTTCCATTCACGTTTTTGTTAGTTCATACAAAGTCTCCTAGAAAATTGCAGCAGGGCAGCTGTAAAGCACACAAACAGTGTTAAGTTCTTAAGCGTTCATATAACAGACTTAGGACAAGTAAGTGTTCTACCACTGTGGTTTACTTTATTTTCACATTTTATAGGCTAGTATCATTTATCTTGGTCAAATATTCTCAATGAATCAATTTTAGCTTGTGAGATTCAGTGGAAACATTCACTTTAAAGAGTAAGCAGTAGAACTGAGAGAGAAAAATCAAATACTTACTTGTTTAAAAATTCAGCCAACCCCACAAAAATCTTCATAACATACATATGTCTGGAGAAAATTTACTTTTCACAAGGGTAATTATAATGTGCTAGTTAGAACACAAAGTCTCTAACCATCTCTATTCTATTTTCTCCTCTTAGCAAATCAGCCCTTTCTATAACTATGCAGACATATTCTACTTTATTATATAATATGTAATCATTCAGTTCATTTAAGATTAGGATTTTTTTTGTTTGATGTCATAATCTGTATCATGAATTCTTTTTTTTTAATTATTTTAGGTACTTGTTCAGCCAATGCAACTGGTTTTTTTTTTTCCCACAGCCACGTTAACTTGAGTAATGATAATGAAGCTAGAACAACTTTACTGATGTAATTCATAACTTCTTCCTCTTTGTAAAACATCATTTTATCATCTTGGTGGGAAGCAGGCAACTCTCAATTCAAATTAAGGGGAAACACTAGTGGAAACATTCCACCAATGTTTTGCCCACTGACTCCATAAAATGAAGTGCTACTGCACCAAGCGGCCTTAAATCTGCTTATCATTAAAGGCAAAGATTGTGGAATTAAAATACTGAAGCATTTGTGGCCTGTATTAGTTGGGTTTTGGTTGTTGGGTTTTTTTTCTTAAAGGAATAGCAGAGCTTTGGGATTTGTATGTCTGTCTACTAAAGTGAGATCAAACCCTGCAAATATGTGCATATTCAGCTTTTTTCAACACAAGTAGTACCTACTCATTTTATATGCTATTAAATACTTCTACATATATACATATCTGCACAGCTTCAAGGTCACTCACATAGAATACACAAGTTACTTTGGCAGCTGATTATTGATGGTATCAAAAAACCTATGAGATCATTTAGTAAATTTTTGTTTGTTTTCATAAGTTTGCCTTCCATATACTTTTCATAATTTTGTACATGCTGATAGTGTTTACTCTATTTTTCCCTGTAATTTTTCCAAATGTTTTTCTGTGGAACCTTTTATAGGACTAACATTCTTGCTACTCTTTTTTTCTTTTTAAACCTTTTTAAACCTTTAAAAAATCCTTTAACTCCAGTATGATCCTTTAAAAAGGCATGCAAAAAGCTCTAAGCACACTCTAAGCAAGGTATAACATTATACAATACAGCCTAACAGTTTCTTTCCATTTCTTTATTTAAATAATTATTTTCATTATCAAAAACCCCACTGATACGCACTGGATATTCCATTAAAACTTCTATTCAGAAGTTAGGTCATTTTACTGTTTTATTTAAACTATAATAATGAACATTAATTGTTCACACTGCTCCCTCTTGTGAACCTTACTTTGCATTTGCTAATATTGACTGTCATTTGCTACCACACTGCCTATGCACTGATGACATGCTAATCACTAATGCCTAGGACTCCTCATGGATGAGGATCTTTCATATTTGGTACTATAAGCAGGACAAGAAATCTTTTGATAGATTGGGTATAACTGAGAGACAAAGACAGAAGGAAAACATACAGAAATAATTGCATAGGCAGTGGTCATACTAAATGAACCACTGACTTGTCATAGACATCAGGAATAGCATAACAAAGCAGTCATTCAGTCAGTGCTGACAAGAGTTTTTGCTGAATGGATGAATAGTGAACGCTCTTTCTTATCCGTTACTCAAAATTCAACTGTAGCCTGGATGTTAAGACCTAAAGAGGTCTGAACCAAAGATGACAACCTAGAGTACAGGCCCAGAGAAAAAGCAGATGATGAAGTTGTCCACAGTGACGTAAAACAGGAACAGCGGCAAGGTCCAAGGAAACAGTATCAGCAGCAAAACCGCAGTCATGTTCAGCCAGCAGTATGCGATGCAATGTCACAGACTGACATTCAGTAAAACTAGAGCTTTGCAAAGTAGGAGGCGCACATCAAGTGAAGGCTGGCAGATAACCGGTTAGGTTTCCCAGTGCAGTACACTGCTAATAGTAGCATTTAACTACTGTGATCATGGAAGAAAAGCCATGCAGAAGAAGTGTGGTAAGAGATGCAACGGAATGGAAATCACAGAAAAGCTCACAACTGGGATAGGAAGAGGGAGGCCGATACCAGGTCTGCAGGGGAACTGGCAGCAGCAATCTCACAATGCAGTCCTTGCTTAAGATCCAAATAAGCTAACAGTCCCACTGGCGAGTAGGAGATTTAAGGAGCTGGACAGGTCATCAACACAGAAATGGAAATTACTAGTGTTGAGTGCCACTGAGTACGAACAGAGGGGAAGGGGCAGGGGGGAGAACAGCAGTAATGCATCTTTTACAGAACTACGTGCTAGGGCTTTACTAGTATTCTTTTTCTACTTAGTAGTTTTAAAATAAATTTTTTTTCCTGTTTGATTTCGTCAGAAATGAACTTTGTTTTCTTGGTAAGGAAAAATAATTTTTTTTCATTTGGCCTCAAAATAAACTATGTTATTAAATTCTTTCATCAAGGATCTACAGGCAAATGCTAGGAAAAAAGTCATCTCATGATGAAAAAGCAGAATAATAATCTTCAGAAATGCTAATAATTCTCCTTTTCCTAACTTTTTGCAAATTCTGATTACATCAGCAAGTAGCTTGAGTTAGCCTGGAACGACATTTTGGAAAGTACACATTTTAAGCAAAAAAATTAACACAGCTATGTAATTCTTACTTCTGTGGGATTGGAAATTATTTTACTGTAAAACTGAGCTGTTGAAAAAAAAATACGCACATAGTTCAATTCTTTCATAGTCTCCAAAAGGAAAATAGCTGTAACTAGAAAAACATTGCTGTCTTTGTTGCATTCTGCAAAGTCACCAAATGCTTCCAAAAATGAGAGATTAAACAGACTAAGACTCTTCAGCTTGAGAAAAGAGCTGTCAAATAAGAGGGAGAGGATAATAGGGTTCTATAAAATCAAGGACGGCACAGAAAAATGAACATAAAGTAACTATTCACTGTTATACAAGGACTAGGGAATCAAGTGAAATTTAGAAGTTTCTAGAAGAAAAACAAAAGCATCTTTCAACATAACATGTAATTAAAACAGTGGAACTCATTATCACAGAATGCTGCAAATTACAAATATAAAAATGTAAAAATAAGCTCAATAAATTCAGATCCATGGCCAAGACTAGAAAAAGAAAATGATCTTTTTTTATTAACTTATCCTCAAGCACTGCCTGATCATCCTATCAGATAATTAGATCCTTCAATTCTCTTTTTTCTACTGGAATATTTTAAGCATCATGCTTGCTTTCAAACCTGTCACATTTTTACATTAAATTTTAAACTATAAAGCAAATGCATGATTCTGCTTTCCACGCGCCTAAGCCCATACCTACGTTTGGCATGAAACACAACTAGGCCTCCAAATCATTAGTCCTGATTCAGCCAGGTACATAGTTACCTAGTTATCTTTTTAATTTCCACATTGACAAGAAAACAACTATATTCAGGCAAGAGCTTAACTTGACTGAGTAAGGCTGTAGTGAGAAAATTAAACTGTTGTTACAGTAGTGAGTTAACTACTCTGGAAATTTTTTTTTTTTTAATGTAAACTGTTCCCTTTAAGCCAGGAGAAATAGTTCATGTAAGTGATTCAGCACAATTCCATCACAGTGATTAATATAAACCTTTCAAAGAATATCAGATTCTAAGGACCTCTTTGGTCTTTCATCCTATCAATCTTATTTATGCTATTATATTTAAACACAATAGTTCACTTCTAGAAAGAAAGGTAGGAAAAGGAAAGCAGTTTGCTACTTTTCTCAGATCTTGCAATTTTACTGCAAGACATAAAGACCAAAGAGGAGATAAATTAGTAAATCAATAACAGGAAGCAAATGGTAGGAATCCACCAAATCTACCTGGATGGCTGCCAGGTTCTTCTGTTCCTGTGATGGAGCCTCATGGACAAAACGCAGCCAATTAGAATGGCGTGGATTGCTTGCATCCAGGATATAAAGGACCTCACCTTTACTCCCACGAACCTGAAACAATAAAAAAGAAAAAAAAATTAAAATTAAAATTGTTTACCAAACACACACAAACATGTTAAACACTAACGCATGCTTGTGCTCAATAAGTGAATCTTGCATTCAACAGATACTCACAGCTGTGGTGCACATTCACCTTCTTCTATAAGCATATTTATTCACCTCAGAATAAGGGGGCAACTCAAATCCCACAACTGGTGTCAGCTTCCTTTATTGAGCTCCCCCTCTCTTTTCTTAGCCTTTCCTTTAGTAAACAAGTATTATGACTGACTCCTGGGTCTCCCTAATCTGACAGTATGGTCACTGGTGTTCATTTTCTTGCCTCTCTCTTTGTTTCTTCAAGTCCTCTTTTTTTTCTTTTTTTTTTTTTTAATGATCTTGCCAGAAACTGATATGACCTGAGAGGTCCTTTCCCATTCCAACCCTATCATCCCTTTTCCAGTTTGCCTTTCTCGAGTTCTCCTCCTTCACATGTTCTGATGCCAGCATTTTAACTCCTACAGTCTACCTAATTCTTCTTATACCTTCCTGTCTTTTGTCATTCAGTCTGTCTCTCATCACTTTCTCCAAATTAAGGTTGTAAGCTTTCCTGTCTCCAATTCATTCTCCTTTCCTCAAAAGTCATTATTATTGTTCTACCTTCCTTCTCCAACATACTGTCCAAGAGTGGACCATTTTCTTCTGCAACCCATACATGTCCTTTAACTCACTCCTCAACTCATTTTGCAGCATTTCTTTTCTGCTGACACTACAGACAAGGCCAACATTAACTTTCTTCTGGACAAAAGGGATATGACATTCGCTAATCTTGTGCTATTCCAATCACGATTTGGTTCCAACACCACTGAGTTCAGGCTCTTGTTCGTAAGCTTCTGTGTTCCTGCAGTTACCCATGTCCATTCAGTGATCTTTGCCTTCATAGTTCTTCACCCTTCACTTTCTTTTTTCATACTTGATACTCTTCTAGACTCACTTGTTGTCCTGTGCTCATTATATTCTAGCAGATCCTATTCACCCTCTACGGCCAGTTCCTAAACCCATGTATTTCTGCCTCCTTTCAGATTTCTAGAAGCATCTCAACCTTAACTGGCAACCATTACAAACAAAATATGTCCATATCTGAATTCAATTTTTCCACTATCTTTGCCACTTTCCTCTTCTGTAATCTCACCAGTTGCTCAACAAACTTCCAACCTGAATTATCAGTTCTGTCTCCCTTACCATCCCACTACTCCATCACTAAATCCTCTTTTTCCTTCTTTATCACCAAATATAACTTCTCTTCTTCATACAAATTCCAAATCCAGTAGATATGCTTTCATTACTGTTAACTCTTACTGCCCCAGACCAATCCTAAATATCCCAGAAACTTACAGAACACTTATTGAAAACCATATTCCCCACTTCCCTTTCAAGTTTTCTATGGGTTTGGGTTTTTTGGTTTTGTTTTGGCGTTTGTTTGGGTTTTTTCCTTTGGCAAGGGCAAAATCCATCCTGCCCTTGGACGGAGATCTATCTTCAGATCAAGGACCAATATAATTGCATTTATTCATTCCATATATCCTATTTTACAGTTCACTTGAACATCTTTTATATATGCCTCTCTAAAGGAAATTTAACTATGTAGCCTCAATGAATAGCAGTCAGTCTTAAACTATGCTTGGCTGAAATTTTATCAGAATAAGAAATTATTTCAGTAAACAAATTAGTACGCTATATAGGTGAAGGGCTGTAAATTATTCAGTAGAGGAAACAAACACGTTCAGATCCATAGAGTTTCTATACTGTGACAAAATTCCAGCTTACATTGAAAAAAATTACAATAATAGAAATGGAAACCTAATATTAACCAAGTCATTCTTCCCCCTCGAAACACGTACTGCCGAAAAAAATACAGCTGCCACTGCCATATAAAAAATGGCTTGTTTTGTCTTAAATAATAGATCACTTGAATCTCCATTGATACAGAAGATAGCCATGCGAAAAGGTCATACAGCCATACTATTATTCCATGTGATTTATTTATAAAACGAACATATTTTCCTTCTCATCTGTCAACAAGAAGTATCCAGGGCAGGTATTTCCTAAGAGCTAGGGATTTCAGCTATGTAAGATCAAAATTAGATTGTCTTCATGGCTTTGTATTTAAATTGCTCACATTCTTGCTATATTTGTTTCTAATAGATGCAATATCACATTTCTTCAGTATGACTGCTTAAATTACCTAAACATTTAAGTTATCATTAGAAAGAAAAAACTGTATTCCATTACAATAATAGCTGGTGACAGCATGTTGTTCTCAGATTAAGTCAAAAAAACCTACTGTAGTTGTGCAAACAAATACAAGTCTTCAAAATTTATTACTGTTCTTCCAAAGGAAGACATCATATCTTAAGAAGGACACATCATGAAAAAGTGCCAATACTTTAAACTTTAAAAGTTGTTTTACTTTTGAACACACAGATTAACCACAGTGAAAAGTGTCAAACCTACATATTCAAACGCACCTGGAAACAACATTATCTAACACTAAGCACTGCAATGGGTTTCCCAGAGAGATTGTGTAGTCTCCATCCTCAAAGACATAGATACTAAAAAGCTGTCCTGGGCAGCTAGCACTAGGTGGCCCTACCTGAGCGGGGAGGGGCTGGAGCAGATGACCTCCAGAGGTCCCTTCCAACCTCAGCCATTTTGTCATTCTGTGACTATCACCTTGGGAAGTAATGCCTGCTTGTTACTGGAAGCACTGTTTTTGTTAGGAACATGGGCAGAATGAATGCAATCAAACCACAAAAGCAAGCTTCAAATTTAGACAAAAATACATGCTAACGGTGTATTCACCTCCTGAAAAGTCACCTGCCAAGAAGCAGCACTGCATTGATTATACTGTAATAAACATCCAGTTCTAAATACGTAATCCACAGAGTAGAACCTCACTTTCAGTGAAAATGGTTAACACTGCAGATTAGCATCTTTGAGTAATTGAAGTCAAACTAATGGCTTTGTGATTTAGCTACCAAGTATGGCATATAGAAGCCCACCATGTAGGTCCGATAAAGGTTTCCATCAGGTCTTGACTTGAGTTGGAAAGAGAAGCAATAAAGATCCTATTATAAAAAGCATATGTTACACTATCTACCTTTTCATCCATTCCTCTTCATTTGCTTGATCCTCAGATTATATAAGAATAATTTATATTCACTTCTGTGATACACGATCATCTTGGTTGTGCTTTCTCAGTCTCTGCCAATCCATAAAGAGATATCAAACACAAAGGAAAGACTTAACACATAAGGAAACTATTGATAAAAGAATACAATAAATCCCTTTAAGATGTGCTATATTGTCTATTGCTTTTTTCACCTCGTAAAGAAATAACGCTGCATCAAATACACAGATGTGAGGAAGAAAAGTCAAGAAAAACAGTCAAAACAGCGTACTTAACACAGACTAGACTGCTGACATTTACCACTCCTTTTCTCCCTGGTTGCATGCATAGCCAAGTTTCCTAAATGAACAACCAATCTTTGAGCAGCATGGCAGTGAATCCCAAACTTAATCAATATTTAAAACAAACAAACAAAAAGACCAGCTCTTGCTTTGCAAATATATTTCTCAAACTCAAAGCCAGTACAAGCTAATCATGGTAATTAAATAAACAGCTAGACTCTACATTTTCAGTTTAAAATCTCCTAAATATCATCTGTGTTGAATTATTAATGAACTGAAATGAAGTTAGGAATATGTCCCAAAGGGTGCTCCCTCCACTAAAATCCTCAGTCATCCTTTTGCTTTGTGGCATGATCACCAAACAAGAAAATCAGTTTAATTAGAAGACATATCAACAAATACAAGCTAAAATGCTTACACCTGGGTCTGCCTGTAAATCTGTTCTGATATCCAAGGAGACAGGATCAGAGATAGCTGTCACTAACACAGATATTACACCATAGGCCCACACAATTCTGCTATCCACAGCAACAAGGAATTCTCCCTCCTGCACCCCTCCATCAGTGACACTGGAAAGCATGAGAAATGTACTGTGTAGCCTCAGCATCTCCCCCCAACCCTGACAGTTGCACCAGCTCTAACAGCAAGGGAAGAAAACGGGATAACAGTGTCAAGCTGCTTATGTGCTCCTCACGAAACTTAAAGATACTGCAATTTACCTCTCTACACCCACAGAACTAGGACTCAGCACATATATTCCTGGAGCACGACAAAATAAAAAACTTCCCCATACTGAATAAGGTTTCTTGCCTTGCTTTATCTCCAGGAACCCTAAACAGGCTTCACTCTGCAACAAAGCTTCCAGTCCACTCCCAGGGGACTCCCTTCCAATCACCCAGCCACTCCAAGAATCTTCAGGACAGCCTGCCTACCACAACTATGCTGGCAGGAAATTGTTGGAAAACTGAGAATGTCTTTCGGGGAGAGGAAATGAAAAGTACTATTCTATGTCACAAACCGAAGTAGCAAATTCTTTAAGGAAGATTTTCTTAACGTATCTGCAAGCCAATTACTGCATTTCCCACACACACGTGAACTGTTACAACCTTACATAGTTATAAGGTACTTAAAATTGAGGCAAAAGATTTTTACAGGGCTGAGGTTCCCTGATAGTTTTATGAAGTAGTATCAATTTCACAATGCTAGTGAACATATTTCTATTTAAAAATTGTGACATTTGAACCTGTCACCTGTCTACATGAATAATTCCATGTTTGAATGTTATTTCCCAGTTTCTATACAGTTGGTATTACCATCCAGTTAGCTCGAGGTGTGTTCCGTAAGATCCCCAAGCTACAGTGGTTAATCCAGAAAGGATTTTAAGAACTATTTTAACAGGACCTGAACTCAAGTGCAAAAGTATTTCTAATTGATTTTCTAAGGCCACCAAACTAAAAATGCTCTTAAGTCATTAAATAATAAAGGATTCAGTCATCTTCATAGGATCAACAGAGACCTAGAAGGATTGTATGTTATGCCTACGG